TTTAAAAAAAACATGATCTTGGGTTTCAGGTTCACCCAGATTTAAATAGGTACCAGGTAAAGTCATCGGAAGTAAAAGCGGTCGGCGTAATGCTGATCATATCAATCAGCCACTGCATATGGTCTATAAAATGTAGGTCTACCATATATGCCCAATACACCCTTAGTCCTGGAAAAGGCTCCTTTACTTACTTTCACTTACGACAGGTTACACTGCTACGTTCCTTATTTTCATATTACTCCTATATATCAAAATTACTGCTTGCTGGGGTCAGAAAGCTGATCAAGACAGAGAGTTATCAAATTCTTCAGCCTACAATATATAGTGTACGTTTAATGACGGTAGAACTTTTTTTAAAAATCACGTCTTGTTTCGAGCGCGATGTAACCGTTACTTTAGAATATCACTGCTATATACAGGTGTTTAACTATTGAAGAGAGAGTATTTTTAGTTGGGCATATGTTCCTTAAGGGAAGCAGCTATTCGTCGGTGGTTGTTCAAAAATGTATGATGTCATTTCCTGGTACCCAAGCGCCTCATTCTAATATTGACAGCAATTTAGCCAGTGGAATCAATAGTCAATAGAGCTGTAATGTGGAAAACAGTACCCAAAATAAGACACCATATAGCAGTTTATGTTGCATTATCTCCACAACGATGATTTAAAAAATTGGGATGGCATTTTTTTCAACAACAAAAATACAGTCATTAAAATTACACTCTTTACTTACATAAGTCCTTAAGAAAGGGAATAGGTGCTTTTGAGCTGAAATGCTAAAGAAATATTCTCATAATATCTTGGACAAAGAAGAGGAAAAAATACTGACATCTTGAAAGATCTGAACCTCAAGGAAGATTGGCTAATAAACAGCATCCTGTCTCGGAATCTAAAATATTTTGGTCATATCAAGCGTTATGACGGATGGGGAAAAAAAAAGCAGAAGCCCTGGTACTAGAAAGGAGGGGCAGGGGCCGACCGACACGAAGATGGGCACAGGATATAAGTGACTCCTTGAGTGTGAAAGTGCATGAGGCGGGAGAGCTGGCGAGAGACCAAGTTTCTTTCAGGCAGACCGTGATGAGAGCGACGTTCTGCAAAGAACCTGCTATATAATGATGACATACAGAAAGTACGGGACACCAACATGGACAATTTTGACATGTTGTGCTACAGTATGTGATATTTATGTTTTTGATATTCTTTTCTCTCAGAGATGTGGGTGCAGATTTTTGTTTTGTTAGTTTGTGTTGTTTAAATATTCAATTCCCAAAACAAAACAAAAAAACGTTTAACATGTAAGGTTGGCCATGTAACAAAAAAGGCATCAGATAGGACAACACAGACAGCAGTTTTATCCTCCAGGCACGCCCATAGGTGATCAGATTCCTCCTTAAACATATAAATCAGCGTTAAACGGTTGACAGTCCCAGTCATATGTTGGTTGAAACGACTTCTCTCGTGTCCGATCTGCTTCTCCTGCCTGGCTGTGCCGATCTTTACTTCCAGTTCTTGCAATCTTAGCAAAGATGTTGATGTACTGCTTCCAAAATCCTCCGATGGTCCTACCTCTCTAATAACAATGTCTGCATGATCTATGGGCAGGCCATCAGTAACTAAGGCAGAGCCGGCTAATCTGTCGGCTCTTCAATTGATAGCAACACCTTCATGCCCTGGAAATTGTACAAACTGTACAGCACCGAGAAAAATTATGAGTATAACAGAAGTTACATGAGTTCCTGCAATAGTTTTTTGAGAGGGTGTAAGTCCCTACCAATGTATACACATGACTGGCACTATGATAAAAAGATAAAGGTAAAGTCATGTATATTGCTCGTTCAATAACTTATTTGCACAAGATATTAATTATCTCACCCCTCTCCCTCCCCCACCCACTCGCTCAAAATTGATATTGTAGAAAGAATTGACTTTAAAAAATTTAACTTTTTATCTTCATTCTGAAAACAAGACACTAATCACATGTCTTACAACTTGTGACAAAACTTGGCATATCGCAATGCAACAGTTTCAGCACAATAGTTGTTCTCTTATTCATTTATGAAAGCAAGAAACACGTGTTTTTGTGAAAGGTCGATATATTACATTTGAATTTTGTGCGGTATTACTCTTAAAAGGCAATCCAGCATTGATCATATTATTTACTTAAGAAAAAAAAAAAAAAAAAAAGCAAAAATACTTTCTAGTTACATGTTATGAGAGAGGACAATATGATATAACTTTAAGAATAAAGTAACATTTAATATATAATTTTAAGAATAAAGTAACATTTAATATATAACTTTAAGAAGAAGGTAACATTTAATATATAACTTTATCCATTTATAGAAACAACACCATGCAGCAAATTCATTAAGAAACAGAAGATAAAAGGGTTTTGTTATTTGTTAAGAATACCAGAGCAACTACCTCTCATGGTATTTTAAATTGGAGTGAGTCAAAGTTACGTAGCGGTTAGAAGCTCCGCCTGCAGGCTTGAAATTCAAGGGTTCATATCCACATTTAGTCGGGTATTTGTTCTTCGAACACAGCCTTGGCTAATAGGTGGCCCCATCCTTAAATGGGCCCGCGGTAAAATCCTGGGAAGTAAGGCGGCCGTAGCGATGATAGTTTACGCAATAGCCATCGATAACCGATTTACCTATAGCAGTATAAATCTAGCATCATATTCTAATGGCGTCATTAGAGTGTAAAGCAGTGGATCTTTACTAATGCTGCGACCCTTTGATAAAGTTTCCTCATGTTGTAGCGACCCTCGAGACAAATATTTCCTTCATAACGTCAATACATACGTGCTTTCTGATGATCTTTGGCGTTCCTTGTAAAAGGGTGGTACGACCCCAAAAAGAGTCGCGACCGCCAGGTTGAGAGCCGTTGGTGTAAAGAGTCCTTGGCTTTCTTACAGGCCTCATGATGAAACTTTCTTGACAGGAGGATTAAAAAAGGAGGAGAAGATTTCACACGTAGTCAAGGGGTTACATGCACTATCAGACGTAATCATCTCAGGGGTCATACGTCATATCATGGGTAATCTCGTGGGTCGCAGGTAATCATCCCTGGGGCCGCATGTAATCTCAGGGATCATGCGCCATCTCAGGGATCCCACATAATCATCTCAGGGATCATACGTAATCTCAGGGATCATACGTAATCTAAATAATCACACGTAAACGCGGGAAACACACGTAAACTTAGGGATCCAACGTAATTATCGCAGGGGTCGCACGTAATCCGAGGGCTTTATCAACACACAATTGACATGTCACATCAATGTTGAATGTTGAATCAGGAATCGAGATCACAACACTTGGGACACTCCCATAAGTGCACCGTCCCCAACTTCAGCAGCAAGCGAAGAGTTCCAATTCGGATGAAATGGTAACTGTCTGATTGTACATTCGTCTCTCCTTTCCCTAGAGTGTTGAGATCTCCCGAAAACTCCTGGCAACGTCATTTTAATCGGACCCTATTGATCTATTTGTTTCCCGTCACTGTTACATCATGTCAGCGATTTATCAAACAATTATGGTGTCATAATCTCTGCCACAAGTAAACAATAGTGGTTCTTCTTCTTCTCTTCTTCTTTAACATTCCGAGCCCTGGAGGTGCATTGCTAAAGATACCACCCATCACCATTCATCTCTCTGGTTGGCCTTCTCTTTCCAGTTGGTGACACTATTAATTAAATTTCATACACACACAAATTTTGGTTATTTTTTTTAAAATTAAATCATTTTAAACAAAATATGAATGATAGGCCGATACACTTTTTTACGCCTAATATCATTACAATTGATCTATCAACACATAGCTGGCAAAATCGTGACAAACTGTCATTTGCTTGATAACAACTCCCCCCCCCCCCGCCCCCCACAAAAATAAATAAATTATGTTACTCATATGTAAAAACACTAACAACAAAAACAACAAAAATCAAATCACAGGAGAAATGTGGAATATATAAGTGATAATTAAAAACAGTGTGCACAGAATACTAGCGATCAATAAAATGAAGAGCACCTAATTTGTGAACTATTTGTAAAAAATATGAAATCTTGAATTAAGAATCAACATTACAGCATTCAGGAAACTCCATGAGCGCTCTATGCCCATCTTTAGCAGCAAATGAAGAGTTCCAATATCGATGGTACCAGTCAATGTCTTACTGTACATCTGTCTCGAATTTCCCTTGACCGTAATAATCTATTTGTACCTCCACATTATTCGCTCGCTCCCAAACGTCGTTCATAACATCTAGCTTGTCACATGTCAATTCACGACTAAGTGGTGGCCAGTCTATCTGCTTGCTCCTTACGCGACATATCAGCATAACCTTGTGAAAATATCCGAAGGAACCAACTACCATAGACCTCTGAAGCGCTGCTTGCCACTCCAGTTACAGTTACGACATGTATGTACAGTTGATTCTCAAGTCAGCTGAAGGCAGCAGTGACTGCCTCCACCTTCCTTCTCAGACTAGACGTTGTGATATCAGGCAATTTTGCGCAAAGCGACGTCCAATAATGCTTATGCTATGAGCCGCCATGCACTTCGCCTACCTCTTTACACAGAACCATCTGTATGAAGTTAGTTGCGTATCCTTTACAGGACATTGCAAAGCCAACCCCAGCGTTTTTTGGCTGTTGTGGTTTTTCTGGGCAAATTTACAGTTTGCTATTGCTTTCTGGACGGTCAGCTTCTCGATACTACTGTCGAAACCAACACAAGACGCCGGTCCCACACCTAGGATCGAGCCTTGCATCCCGGCATAACGAAGCGCGTTCGCAACGCATAAGCCAGAGACGCCGACACTCTCTGTATAGAAAATCACATGATCTTTAAAATTACAATAGAATGACAATAGCCAAGAAATTTGTCAAGGAAACAATTTATAAAAGTGAGTTTTTAAAAACAAAAGTGGGTTGAGGGAGTTGGGCTGACTATTTCAAGATATAATTATAGCTACTTCAGACACCTGAAGTAATTAACCCTTGCACAAGCGTGCCTTAATATCAGAAAAAGTTCGCATTACAGCCTGTGAAAATTTATTGTTCATAAAGAACAATAGAGTGAAAGTTAGTATGGAGTTGAACGGTATTAAATAAATTGAAAATACGTAAACAGGTGTTGGTACAGGGAACACTATATTGAGACCAGCACACAAAACGGACGGCGACGTACAGATAAAATACATTCCAAACATGGCAGAGAAGAATTTGACACTTCTAACAGCTGCCAGAAAATTTTCCCTGAAAGCCACATTACTACCGACCCTAGAACTGGGAATTCTTCGAGCTAAACTGGCCTTTCTCATTCTGAAAGCCAGAAATGCTACTTTAAAGTTAGAGACCATAACTGCAACACAGCTGATGACGTACACGAAAGCCCCAATACAGTAGTACTCTAATGGTGGGTGAAGCAGAATACATGACTTGTGATAGTGAACTTTCGTGTATACTAGCAGCGGAACAATCATGTAAGACAACCCAAATGTCCACAGACACAGGATAATAAAGTAGATACTTCGATTTATCATTACACTCTGGTAGTAAAATGGATGGGCGATGTTAATATACCTTTCTAATGCAATAATTCCGGAGTGGGCTAAATATAAAACCACAGAACTGTACCAGGCGCCGAGTAGAAAGCTCTCAAAATACTCCGGCTTTGTTATCCCTAAAGTCGTAAGTAGATTGTCAGATTCTCCAAAGCAGACATAGGATACACTTAATATGACTTCAGTAAAAACCATAGATATCACCAATATTTTAGTTCGTGTTTCTATGAAATTTGTCCGTTTTGCTGTAAACACAATCAGCACATTCTTGCACACTGCAATAGCAACAAATGGAATGGTCAGATAGAGCGTTCTGAAACCGAAGAACACCCTCATTGCACACGTGAAAGAACCGTTTGTAGCCATGACGCCTACAAGGTAATCCTTCAGTACGAATCGTAACGGCACACGAGCGGGAAAGTCGTTTAAATGCTTAGTAAAAAGGAACTGCAGGTTTATCTTTGATTACTGCCTGTTTTTTTTTTTTGTGGTTACAAAATTATTTTTACAGCACACGAGAACTACCCTTTCATAATCAGAGAATACTCGACGTGCTATTTTAAATTAGTCCTTAGAAGAGGTTTCAAGATCATCGCAGACATGTGGCCTAATAGTCGCTCCGTTCATGTTCCAGTGTATATCACACGCAATACCAGATGTGCTAACACTAACAACCCCACACCAGAACTGCAGCTCACTATCGGGGCTAACAGTGAATTTCTAAAGCCGGCATTGCATCCATCCCATGTACAAGCCATTCTGAACGTAATGGGGCCACCAGTTTTTTTTTTTTTGTTATTTTAAATGATAAATCACAACACCGCACTTTGATAACTGTTTCTAGTCCTTGCTACACGTTTTATAATTCCTGGTATAGTACTCTAGTGATCAGTTTTTAAATCATAATTTCAACGTGCAGAAGGTAAGAATACCTAGTCGGGCGAACGCCATATATATATTTTAAATTGTACGTACATATCGTGCTGGCACTGAACTGATCAAACTGATTTAAGAATATACATCTTAGCACACTGGGAATACCAATATGTGTCCCGTCTAACCAATGTTGTCTGTAGCAATATTACCTGATAAGGCCACGGTCTCTTCCACAGTGAAACTCTCATACCACTGTCCGAAAAATTACGAGAACAGCTTGCTTTTACAGTCCAACTTTTGGAATGAACATTAGTACTCGAAGATGAAGAAACTGTCAATCGCATATGCTAATCACTTAGCCACTTCTCCTAAAACTATCTAACCAGTAACAGATCAGAAAAAATGCTTCTTCTTTTGTTCGCTTAAAATATAATATCTATATCTACACTGTTATCTATAGTATAAACTTTACTGTCTTGTGTAATCCCCTTAGTTTGGCTCACAACCCCAGTTTCTCTTGGCCAGAAGTTTTGCCTTGATGTGTCGTTTAGGGACAGTCCCAGAGGATGTGATCTGTATTTTCAGGTGCCAATCCACGTGTGCACATAGCTGATTGGCCAATTTTAAATTTTGTATACACGTGGCTGCGAATTCCTGTTCAAAGGTGTAGATCAGAAAACCGAACTATTTCTTATCGAAAACAGTACCGATTAATTCTTGTCTTAACAAGATAACTGGCAGTAAAAACACTGACATAGTGGTAATCTGTTTCCCTGCCAAACAAATCTAATGAATGCATTACCGACGAGAGGAGTTTAAACATGCACAATGGGGCCAAGAATTCTTCTTATAGAGCAGCTTCATTGACATCAGTGGGCTTTTACTAGACACAAACACCTCGACATGCCGTATGAGCACGATGAGTGTCTGAAAATGATAACCAACAGAACAGTGCGCTAACACTAATTAACAACACAAAACCACATAGATGAAGAATTTCATGTCATCGCTAGATAAAACAGAAGCTGAATGTTTTTTCAAAGGGAAACACAAATTCACGACAGCAATTATCTACACTCGTGTTCAACAATGTAATCATTGATCTACACATTAGCCTCAGTTTAAGTTTGAAATTTGAACAACGAACCAACATCATGGCACACGGGTAGTAACGCATAACTGCTCCGTTCTACTTCTAACTCAAGTCTGAGTCAGATTAGCTCAGCGCAGCGCACGAACTCTGTAGCACTGGCGTGGCTCCTGAAATATTTTGGGTAGATTTTTAACTCTAAATTTGTCTTGGACAGCGCCGTTAAGCTACTATTTTTAATATCTAACTGCCAAAGGATTTCTTTACGTGCACAACAATACACACAGGCGTCCAATCTCACTACTCAGAGACTAGGGGAAATTACTAGAAATCCACCCCCCCCCCCTTCCGCGTCGTGCGTATAGCAAGACCCCTACCCCCCCACCCCCCCCACCCTCGCTTGAGTAATATGCGATTAAAAAGACTCCTAGCTTTTTTAAAAAGGGAAACACCAGTATGGAGATCCGTCGACCCGCTATAATGTGTTTTTAATCTATAATTAAATGTATTTTTTATCACAATAATTTGATTTTTTATCCCTAGAAATATAAACTGCTAATAGGAACAAATTCTTAGGCATTTTGTATTAGATGTAGTTTTTTATTGTATAATTTAAATGTTTTGTTAACACAAAATAAATTTTTTTACGGATCTCTAGAAATAGTTAGGAGTCTGCTATCATAGTTTTAACTTACGTTCTTCGGACGAAATTTTGTATTTGACATAGTCTGGCTTTTGCCAGGGGCCGCAATATAGGCAGGCCATACATTGGCCTTTGTCTGAATTTTAACCTCTAAACGGCTATAAAAATCCGCATGGTGGCACTATGTGTCGGATGTACGCTTGTGTGATGTCCTGGTGGGGTAGAAATTCAGTTCAGTTCAGTTCAGTCTGAATATCTTCCCAATACCCTAGCTAACCAACGATCTATTCATATGGGATGCAATTTTCTTTGTTCGAAGCACCACCCTGGCTTCTGCTTGGCCCTGAATAAAGGCGGTTAGATAAGGGCCAGCTATAGATATGGCCTAACGGCTCAAAGGGGTTTCAGGGACCTCTCCACGGTTTATCGCTTGCGTGATGTCCTGGTGGGGTACAACTACCTACCTACCTACCTTCACAGCACGCCGGATACATCCATAGATTCTCAGATTACTTCTTCAACATATTTGCAGTGACGCGCGGTTAATTGTGCCAGTCTTATGTTGGTTAACAAGACTTCGTGTGCATCCAGTGTGCTTCCGTGCTTGGCTGTGACGACCTTGACTGCCAGTTCTCGAATTTTTAGCAGTGATGTGGACATGTTGCTTCAAAAGTCCTCGAAAACGTCCTCTCTCTTTAACTGCATTGGCAAGGTCTGCATGGCCCATCGGCCGGCCATCTGCAGTTAAAGCGAAACATGCCGGTCTATCCGCTCTTTTATTATTAACACCACCTGCATACCTGTGACAAATATGAAGGTAACTACACACACAGGAGATTTTTGCAATTACTCAAACCACGGTCTGCGTGACGAGCCTGCCTTATCCCGTTGGATCATGCTCAAAGAATCACTCAACACACACACTGGAATATTCCTGTGATTCTAGCCACATGAAAGTCTGTGTCATCGCAATCACCTCCTCGTAATGCTACTGGTAGTCACGGCGAAGGAACCACTGACTTCCTTGTCTGTTCTGGTTGAAGAGCAAGATGTAAATGCCCTTGCACTCTTGTATCCTCACATAACGGACACGTTTGTGAAGATCAGCTCATCTGTCACATCTGATTTATCACTGATAAGTACGTACACCTCAGCATTGACAGCAGGAGGATTCTGCCACCGACAACTCCTATCGAGCGTGACGACACAGGAGAAGGTGACATTGGGCTCTTTAGCACTGGTATCTAATCCTCACCAGGATTGAGGTCTGTGAGACTGCAGACCAACTTGATGCCATCCTCTGCCATACCAAGCCATGATTTGCTCCCCTTTTTTCAGTCTATTGTCCTAATTCCTAAAGAGCGTGTTGGTGCAAAAAGTGCTCCAGATTTTAGCTTCTCTTGAGGCATGCCTGAGCCCTCCAGATCCTGATTCTGCAGTTCATGGTAGGGAGGTCAATAAGAATTATTACAAATACAAATGCACTCAGTTTAAAAAAATTTTTTGACGTCCGCTTGTGAAACTTCCTCGCCTCCTCTGTGTGGGGAAGGGGGGGGGGGGGGGCACTGCACTCGAAGGATGATGTAAGTAAAGTAAAGGATTTTTTTACGCCTTAGACGTCCTGGGCAAATAGGGCTAGATTTGTATTTTATAGTGCCATCGGTACGCGGTGGATGATGTGGTTAACATCACACTGGCTGACTTTAGTTTCCCGGATTCCACCTCGTACGTTTGAAGGCTGGGTCGACAAACAAATACAGACTACAAAGAGACATATCTCGTGGTCTCTGTACACGTGGCAACGGGAGCGATACTCTGCAATGTCATTCTTATCCTGGCTTTCTTTACCGAGAGAGTCGCATCAAGCAGAAAGGTCGACAGTACCTGCCACCCTCCAGAAAGAGAGAGAGAGAAAGAGAGAGAGAGAGAAAGAGAGAGAGAGAGAGAGAGAGAGAGAGAGAGAGAGAGAGAGAGAGAGAGAGAGAGAGAGAGATATATATATATATATCTGAAATGTCCGTACTAGAAGACCCCCCTCACACACAAAAAACGGACAATGAGAGAACAGACGATCTGTCTGGTAGTGCGACTCTCAGAAATGGACCATTTAAAAACGCTGTAAGGCTTTCAGTTTCGTGGTAAATTATTTTTTAATGAACAGACTGAATACCCTGGCTGTAACAATGAAACCCGCAGGACAGGAAAACCATGTGCGGGTAACCCGTCGTTACATGAGCCAGAACAGAATAAGAGTTGTTAGCCAAAAAACACTTGGAGACATACTCATAAGGCGATCGGAGAACTTCTGGTTATACCCAAAGATCTCTAAAATAAACAGAGGTTTCAGGTTTTCAAAAACGGCACACGGGTCTAACCCATAAGTGCTCCTTTCTTCTTTTAACTTAAGTCTGAGTCAGAAAACGCTCAGCACAATGCACACGCTTTGGAGCACCAGCGAGGATACTGAAATACTTTGGGTAGATTTTTAACTCCAAATTTTGCCCTGGCAGCGCCGTTAGGCAACTATTTTTGATTTCCAGTTGCCAAGGGATTTATTTACGTGAGCGACAATACACCAACCCAGAGACCGCTGTGAATTACTAGAAATGAAAGTACACGTGAAAACATCCCATCCCTTACCGGGGATTGAACCCGGAACCTCTAGCACTCGAGGCAGACACCATGCCTCGAGACAATACAGCCGCCTAAAAAATATAAACAATGAACAATGAATAAAAAACGGACATCGAAACTATA